CTGACCTGAGCTGCAAAGTCATATAATGCCTTTTCACAATGTGTGGTGCCCCCTCACTCAGGTACTACTTGAAGATCTGCATCTTTAAGAGCACTTAATTTAAGCCATAGCTGTTTCATACATATGTATGTATGTTTATTCTCCTGGGCAACCCCAGGCTCACTGGACCCTGCTTCCTCTCCTCCTAGGCAGTCACTTATTACTTGAGCAGCCCAGAAAAGGGCCCCAGCCCCCTCTGCGTGTCCTACTCCCACTTAGGCTACACTGTGCTTCCAGGTCCTGCTGTGCCTAAAGGCAGGATTAGGATGGATGGGAAAATTCAAGGTCATCAGCAAAGCCCTTTAACTTGAGTGGACTTCAGCTTTCAAATTTAAGTTTAAATTTTATTTTGCCCATGCAAAACTTTCTTGAAATGGAAAGATTATGTGGTTTCTTCATGCAGACTTCTTCATTTATGTTCTTTCACTAAAGGTATAGGAGAAAAGGGCCTTTTTTTTTATTATTATTTTTTAAATAGCAGTGCTCAAACTGTGGTATGAAGATTTTGAGAAGTAGGTAGTTCCCTTTTTTTTTTTTTTTTTGGAGGATTTTGAAGGCGGGTTTGTTTCTCTGTCTATAAACCAGCCGACCAAATCCGTTCCTGTGCGTGCAGCTCGTGGGGCTCTGTGAAGCTGTGAATGAGCCCAACGCGGCGGCTGGTTTCTTGGCGGTGGTGTCGGAGCTGAGACCGCAGGGCTCTGGCTGGGCTGGAAGGCAGCCGTCAGTTGGTTGTGTTGCTCAGATAGCTCGGTGACGGGAGCTAGCAGTGAATTTTGCTTGTGCCTGCGAGGTGTAGTCGCAACTGCCAATGGATTGAAAACTAAAATGCCGATAGTGCTCGATCCCCGGGATCTATAACAGCTTTGAGGTGACAGCAGGAGGGAGAGCTCCTGTTGCTGCTGTGCGTCCCCCCGGGGCAGCCTTCAGCGAGGAAGTCCCTGGATTTCTTGTGCAGAGGAAATCATTATAAACAGGATGTTTGCTCCAGCCCTGTTCTAGGCTGGGTGCTCAGACCCCCCTTGCCTGGACCCCGAGTTGGAAGGAGGAGGAGGAGGTGTGGGTGCTCCCCCTCGCTCTAATTAGTGTGAAAGAGCCGTTTTCAGGACATCGGCATTGGGGCACAGACCCCCACAGAGCTCATATCTCCGTTTCACAAGACCGCAAGAGCTTTTTTGGGACTGGGTGCAGGAAACCTCTGTTTTGTGGTGCTGCTGTGGCTCCGCGGTGATCCCCGTGCTTGGTCCCAGGACTTGAAAGTGGTGGTGGGGGTGTCCGGGGGCAGCTGAGCGCGGCGCAGGCAGCAGCCTGGGGCAGCATTGAGAGGCAAAGTGCAGCGCTGCGATTGGCACCGTCATTGGAGCAGTTACTGTTCCAGCTGCTGCTTGGGGACATCTCAGTAAAGGAGTATTCAGCCCACATGTCAAAGCATGGGGAAACAGTCCTAAGCAAAGAGTTAAACTCTTTGCAGCCCTTGGGTAGATCACCAGCCTTCTGGCTGCACGGATGCACAGGCTCTTGTCAACATCTCTCTTCTAGGATACTCCCAACTCGCTCCTCACTGCAGCCAAAGTGGCAGGCTGCCTGCCCCAGGGGGTCAGCGACCACCCGGCCGTCCCCCTCCCCACTGCGGGTCTGGGGAGGGTGCCTGCCCAGTCCCTGCTCTCCACAACCTTCCTGCATCCCCCAGCTCACACATAGAGGCAGCTGTGCGCTGCTGCCATCGGGCCTGCCTTCCTACCTGCTTCAATGGTAAAATGTTTTTCAGGCTGGTCCTGCTCCTGGAAGGAGGTGTGCGCGGTGTATGAGCTCTGGGATTGCCAGTTGCATTTGTTTAAATCAGGTTTTCTGGGCTGAAACGAGCCCATTAGGTTTTTGGATGTTCAGACAAGCTGACCACACCCATAATTATTCTTTGGCATCTTTGCCCTTGTTGAAAATGCATATTTTTAAGTTTTCCATATTTCACATATTCCTAGTTGCCTGGCTTGCAGCCTGCTGTGCCTGCATAAACATACATGATCATGCTGGTTCAGATGGACTGATTTCCCTAATTCCCTCAGTGCTAGACTGTGAACCCAAATGAAACTTTGTGAGATGAAATGCATCCCACGCAGATCCAGAGTAGGGTGCGTTGTGCTGGGCCCCTCCCCATTTAAAAGATCAGTGTGTCTGACCAGAGCACATTTTGGCTGTACCAGCTAGGCCCCTGGTAGGAAACCCCAGCACGGCTTTTCCCTGGGGTGGGGGGACACCACATTGGGCTCCTGGGGGCTTTGCTGACCAAGGTGGCTGTGGCTGTCACCCAGCTGGTTGCCCTCTGACCCCTCAAAATTAATATCACATTTCTCAATCTGGAGGCTGTGTAAGAGGAGCTGTGTGAGATGCCGGGGGACTTCATTTAGTTGGGACACACAAAGAGGCAGAAGCTGTAAATCTGCATGCTGAGCATTAGCAGTGAAAGCACTCAAGTCACCTGGATGACAAAGGCCATGTTAGCAGCTGACTTGGGCTGAGTTGTTTGTTTTGGGACTGTTTAAATTCAAGGGCTGAGCCTGGTAGCACAGACAAGCTTCTCATCAGGCTTTCTGTGCTAATTGAATGTAAGGGAGGCTGTTGCCTGAACCCGGAGGCCACCCTCTTTGGGCAGGTGAGTTCCAGAGACACCTGGATCAGCAGAAGCAGGCAAGGATTGTTCATGCGAGATGAACAAAACCTTGAACTGTGATTCGGTGATGAGACAGGATCATTTGTAGTGGCAGGTTTTCTACCAGCCAAAGCAATGCAAAGCTGTGACACTCAGACTTGCGTGGGATCAGCCGTTCTGCAGTCACCGCAAATGCTGCGCCGTGGGCTCGGGTGATGCAGCCAGAGGTTGCTCACTCTTGGCTGGTCTGGGCTAGTGGCAGGTTGGATGGCCGGGCAGAGGGCAGGTCCCGTGGGTGGGATCGTAGCATCGCTGTGAGGAGGTACCGTCACCAGGCTGGCTGTGCCAGCAGAGCCCTGAGCATCCCCTCAGCCTCCCAGAGCGAGGGAAAGCCCTTGCCCTCCCAACTGGCAGGCTGGCATTGATGTCGGTCTTGTTTGGGGTTTGCTACTGGCACTTTGGGCTCTGAGGAGCCCAGGAAGGGCTGGTATCCACGGGTGGTGTTAGTCTGCTCTGATGAATGTGGTGAGGAACACTATAAAAATAATTGGTTGAAATGAGACTCCTAGAGCTGCCTTGGGGTGATGATGGGGCACAGGGGTCCAGTGGGGATCTCTGTGCCTGGGGAGACCATGGCAAGAGGCCATTCTTGCCTTTCCATTTGCCAGTGAAGCTGCTAATGCTCTGGTTTAAGATATAAACTCCAGCAAGAAAAAACATTTGACGTGGCCCATTTGTGCAAGGGCTCTGCTGACCCACTGGCTTCTTCCCTGCCAGGCCTCTGCTTAGCTCCAAGTCAGTGCGGATTTGTTCTCCTGGTTTGCAAATGGTTCAAATGTCTTCCCAGTTGCTTCTCTCCATCTGCCTGCTTCAAATGTTTCCCCAGCCCTGGCCTCTGGTTATTCTTCTCTGCTTCCTCTGACAGTGCCTGTGTCACACTGCCCAACCTGCCTGGGTTTCTTTTCTCAGCATTGTCATCCCCTCAACTCTTGGACCTGGGCCGATTCTTGCAGAGCAATTCAAGGTTTACTGTGTCCCAGCAGCTGCTCCTGCTCCCCTTTCTCCCCCAAAACAAAGCAGTTTGTCTTCCACTGCAGTCCAGGTCAATAATAGTGTTTCCCTTGTCCGTGTGTAAGAAATGCAGGACAAAAGGGTGGGATGTGGCTTGCCTGGAGCTGCAGCATTAGACCATGGGAAAGAGGGAGCTTGAACCTTCTCCCCTCAGCTCCTGGTCCAGTGCTTTGAGCTGTGTTGAATAACATGATCTCCACTTGAAGGTCTTGGAGAGCTGCGCTGGTAAACACTGCCTTCGGTTTGTTCAGTCGTTGTCCTCAAAATAAACTCTGGCATTTCACCTCTCCGGTTTCTTGCCCTGTGTCACCTCGACAAGGAGAAGAGCTTGTTGGGGAGGTGAAGCATCTCTTCTCCCTCCTAACCTCTGGCTGCTTGAAATTTTAATCTGTTTATCTCAGCAGCCTCCTCTGCCCCGAAGGGGAGCAGGGAGCAGGGGCTGGCACCGAGCCCTGCCTGGGAACGGCTCTGGCTGACTTTGTGCAGAGGTGAGGGGGAAGAGGACCTGCATCCCCGAGGTGCCGGGGAAGGGCCCACCCAGTGGGTGCTGCCCACGCTGTGGGGGGACAGCAGGGGCCAGGCGGGTGGGGGGGACCGGCAGGACTCTGTGCACATCCCTGGGAGAGAAACAGCATCAATCTAGTGAATGTACTCAAGCTCTTTATGGACATAGTTTCCCCTCAAATTGCTCAAAAGCGAGAGAGCAATGAACTACAGAGCAATGGAGGGAAAAGAAGTAGTAAAAAACGTTAAAGACCCAGCAGCCCTCCCCATCTCTCACTTGCCAAAGAAAATCCTGCCTGATTTCTCCCGGCCACGTCAGCTCCCAGCTATGACAGCTATCTCATCCTGTTGGCAAGGCCACTCTGGAGCAGCCCTCGCTCCAAAATGCAATGGGAAGAGATGTAAACAGAGAGAAAGCCGGAGCTGAAGCTGGCTGCTCGGGGTGGGTGTCCAGGTACGGGGCCAGGCATGACTGCTAGGGATGTCGCAGCGATGGGGACGGTCCCTCTCAGATGTGGTTGTGGGTCTGGCCCCAGGGCTCGGGTGATCGTTTGTGCTGGGGATGCCTGGGGGACGTGTCCTGGGGAGCACTGAAGCCTCCACGTCCCCATGAGGGGCAAAGGGGCAGCTTTGCCATGCAGGGAAGCAAAACCCAATGCTTTTATCTCCTCTTCCTTACCCAGTGGGCTTTGCTCAGTGAGACGCGGACCTGACTTTAATTCTTCTCTCTTTGTTTCCCCAGATCATGATTGAATTCTGCCCAGGCGGGGCGGTGGATGCCACCATGCTGGGTGAGTGCAGTGTGTGGTACTGGGCTCTTCTCTGTGCTCAGGGTGATGCCCCCAAGGTGTTTCCAGCCTCTTGGCACACTTTCAGGGGCAACCTTCAGACAGATGGCAGATGTGGGTGCCCCAGCTTTTCCAGCTACTGTTTCTCTCCCATGAGTTTGCCTATTTTCATACCTGGAGCAGAAGGTGTGGCAGCTCTGGGGCATTTCTTGAGCTACTTTGATGTCCTCTTGTGATTTAAATGCTGCTGGGATCAGCAGATCACAAGGCTTGGGGAGAAGGGAGAGTCTGGCTGGAGGGGAAATATGGCTTTAAATATCTCTCTGCTGGAGACACTAGGTACTTGGGATCCTATTCCCACAGCTTCTCCGGGAAGGGCATTGAGGCAGAGATGTTTAATCTGGGTGTCTTTCGTGATGAATCTCCCATGATGTTCCTGCTGACTTCTCCGTATGGTATCGTCCATCTGGTGAAGCAGCAGAGAGTCGGAATAAACTGCAGTTTGCAGTCATTCCAGAAATCTTCCCGTTTTTAACTCCTCCCTTCCACATAGAGGCGCTGGGACTGAGAGTCTGTGGGTGTTCCCCAAAACAGCCCTAGCTGGTGCCACAGCCCCTCTGTGCCAGGGCTGCACAGACTTCGGTGTGGTGGTGGGGTGATGTCCCCTCTGTATGGCTCTGATGTCCTCTTGGCTGGATCCCATGGGACAGAGCTGAGTCTCAGTGGGAGTTACTCCCTTTCAGCTCTGATATTTCCAAAGCCCTTGCTTTCTTTTGATTTTCAGGAAAGGTACAGACTCAAATTTGTCATCTTTGATTCAGCCCCTAAAACTTGCGCCTCCTTTAGGGAACTTGTTTAAAGCAGGTCCCAATCACTGCATAAAAAAGTACCTTTCCTGAAGTGCTGGAGGAAATTGCACCTTCCCCTGAAAAACTTCAACAGAGGTGCCCTGTCTTTTGGGACAGAAAAATCCCCCCTGAGCATTTGTGGGGCCATGGCCATGGCAGTCAGTCTCTGGAGGATGTGGGAAAGGGGAGCATAGAAAACCATGAGCAAGTAGCCTGGTTGTAGTGCCAGGACACCCTGAATGAGGGGTAAGAGGAGCTGGGAGTCAGAGCAGCTCCTGGCATTAGTAAACTCAGAGTTGCCAAATGTTGCCTGTTCCACCTCTCCATCCCCACCAGCAACTGGTCTTTGTCTTTGAAATCTTTTGTACAAAACTCGTGGCCTGCTGCATCTCACTTTTGCCAGATTTTCCAGGGAGAGTGAAAATCATCAGCTTCCCCCTAAATCAAGGGAGATCTTGGTGAGGAAGAGGAGGAACAAGGTGGCTGACCTAGCATCCCCCAGCCTGTGGTTAAGATCCTCACTCTGAATGAGCATCTATCCAAGTTTCTGGGGTCCATCCATCAGCCCCGCTCCTGGCCAGGCAGTTTGGGCAGTTGGGATTGCCTAAGGCTCGGTTTGCTCTGCTGCACACTGCTGTGCTGGAGGAGGGATCTGCACTGGGAAGGGAGGAGGGAGGGAAGCTCAGACGATGATAACCATCTGGAAGTTTGATGGTTTGCAGAGCCGTCACCTTGCAAAGCAGTCTCAGATGGTGAAAGTGGCCAGGCAGAGCTCAGCAGGGAGGTCACGCCAGAGGTCGTGTGTCCCCGCAAGCTTCAGAAATAGGGACAGACAGCGGGGTATGAACTGGTGTGCTGGTACCTGGTGCTACCTGAAAAACTAGCTCAGAGCAGTGAATAGGGATAATGCTGGTGAGCATTTTTTTGCTTGTTGCTTTGGGAAGTGGTGTGTCCCTCATGAGGTATGGGGGGTTACGCTGCATCTCCGTGGCAGGGGTAGCTCCCTGGGGGATGAGAACACGGCTGCATACGGAGCTGCTGAGTGTTCACGCCTGTGTTTGACCCCACTGCTGCCTGCAGCCATGTTCAGCTCCCTCCTCTGCAGCATTGTCCCCACGCTGGGTGAGACCCAGCTTGTCTGTGGGGACCCGTTTCCCAAATTGGCAGGGAACTTGCAGTGCAGACCCCCATTGCGGCGTGCCTGGCTCCTCTGCCTTGTCCCCCTCGTTATCCTTTGCCAGATGCCTCAGCCGTGTGTCCCTGGGAGGGAGCTATAAACCAGCAGCTCCAAGCAGGCGGGCATTGCGCTATGACTGCTGGTTTAGGGAATAAACTACCTTAACAACCTGATTTGCATTGGTCTCCAGCTGCTTTGACACATGGATAGTGGTTTTTAAATGGTCTGCTGGGTAGCCCGTGCTTTCCTGCTGCTCAGGTGGAGCATTGCTCGAATCCCTGTCCTTTTTAACGGCTCCCTCCCTCCCCACAGAGCTGGACCGGGGCCTGACCGAACCTCAGATTCAAGTGATTTGCCGCCAGATGTTGGAAGCCCTTCATTACCTCCACAGCAAAAAGATCATCCACCGTGACCTGAAGGCAGGCAACGTGCTCCTCACCCAGGATGGGGACATCAAGCTCGGTGAGCTGCCTGGCACAGGAGCACGGCAGGCACTTGCTTGGCCGAGCTCGCTGGGAGAGTGGGCGATGGTGTTGCTTGGGACCATTTCACGTTACACTAATGGCAGCTACGTGCTGCTGGGAGCTGGACTGTGGCATTCAGTTATGTCTGAGCATGGTGGGGATTGAGGGATGCTCTCTGCCTTCTGCCCTGCCTATGGGACACCAGCCGGTTGTCTGCTGGCTGATGAGCTCAGGCGGGAGAAGGTGGGGGGAAAACTTCGTATTGTTGCATGGGAGGCCAAATCTACCATCGAGCTGTGTGCTGTGCTTAGTCCCCAGCCAAGCACCAAGACTCCTTGAGCCGTGTTTAGGCCCTTGATGGACTTTCCTTTTGTGAATTTGTTTAATCCCTCTTTGAACTCAATTTTTATGCTTTTTGGCTGCTGAGCATCCCGTGCAGGGTGCCAGTTGGCAGGGCTGGGAGCTGGAAGAATTTGTCTTATCTCCAGAACAAGTCTGGTGGTGACAGGGAGAGTTTTGCCAGAGGGTTGCTTTGCCAACTTGCTATGGGCTTGAGTTAAATTGGCATCCAACTACCTGCTGGGGGCTGAAAAGGTAGTTTTGTCTGTAGGGACTGGTCTGGAAGGTGCAGACCTCCTTCTTGACTTTGATGAGGGGTGTTGGCAGCTGTGGGGTGTTCTTGGGATGTGTCTGTTGGTGCTGATGGAGACCAGCCAGCCTGGGAAGATAGAAACCTTCCTGTGACCATGGGTTGTGTTCCAGTGTAAAAACACTCTGCTGGCTTGGGCCAAGGGTGACCCACAGGCAGGGACACCCTGAGCCTAGGGTGCGGATGGATAACAGCTCCTCCAGAGGTCATCAGGGCCATCTTGGTGAGCAAACTGACCTGGAGTGGGATTGGTAACCTGTGCAGGTTTTACCAATTTGATTTAGATTGGGTTGGCTGCAGCAGCTTTCTATACATGGGATGAAATCAGAGAAAGGCACCACACAGTGGCTGCTATGCAAGAGACTGAAGGGAAGAGAAAGAATGTAACAGCACCAGTTAAAAAACACCAGTTTTTTCTGGTGTAAAATGAGGCTTTTTGCTATGAAATAGCAGTCCTGAAAGTAATCTGCCACGGAGCTGCTTTTGTTTGTGGAAGAGATTTCGACTTCCTTCTAGATATGTAGGGTTTGGATTAGGGGTGGCTTGTTATGTCCCTGTCTTATAGTACATGAGAGGGGAAGGTCCCTGGTGGTTATGTACCCAAAAGCAAATTTAATTTCTGATGCTCGGTTTAGAGGAAACAGCACACTGTATCATATTCTTGCCTTAAATGTGTGCTTGCTTTTAAATCTGCATTTCAGCCAAGTGTGCTAATTCAGAAGGGTCTTTCCATTTTCCTACGGCATCTAATGTTACCGCTCTTTTCAGCTGATTTTGGAGTGTCTGCCAAAAACATGAAAACCTTGCAGAAGCGAGACTCCTTCATTGGAACTCCTTACTGGTGAGTGACCTGCTTGCTAAGAAATCCTGGGTGTTCATGAGGTTCTTCTCTCTTCAGAATATCAGACTTGCTCAGAAACAGGGAGCTGATGGCCTTTGTGATGTGTTGGACTCTAGTGCCTTACCGAGCATGGATGGGAGGATTTTCACAAGGACTCCTCGCCAGAGGACTGCAGGGGTTTCCCTCGCCTGAAGGGAGCTGTGAGCAGCATCAGTGGTGTGGGAGCGCTGCCCTGTGTCACGCTGCCCTCAGCCAGCCATGTTCCAAGCTTGGAGGAGCGAGGGATGCACGTGTGCTCGCGTGTGTGTGCTCCCCACTCCCCCCACCCCGGGGGGGTGGAGTGGGCTTTGAAGCGACTCCAAGCACATGGGAACGAGTCCTCACTCCAGAAACGCAATCGCTAAATCACCCGACATGCTGAAGGAACGGAATTGGCGGGGATTAATTTATTGTCTGAAGCAACATCCGCGCCAGATGTCAATGGCCTGGGGGTTTCCACGGGCTGCCTGGGCTGTCTCTGCTGGGCTGCGAGAGAGAGGGGGTTGGACCCCTTAGAAAAGATGCTGCATCTTCTGAAAGCCAGAGCTAGGAGGAAAGGCTGTTTTTTGTTTTGGTTTGGTTTGGTTTGTTTTTTTATGCAGTGCTGTGGATTATTTAAAGCACTTAATTGCTGCTGCAAGGCTCACGTTGTGTGGCAGTGGGGTCATCTCTCCCCATCCCTGACTCTTGGTCTGCCCCTTGCAGGATGGCCCCGGAGGTGGTGATGTGCGAGACCATGAAGGACACTCCGTATGACTACAAGGCAGACATCTGGTCCCTGGGAATCACACTGATCGAAATGGCCCAGATTGAGCCGCCCCATCACGAGCTCAACCCCATGAGAGTCCTGCTGAAGATTGCCAAGTCCGACCCCCCCACGCTCAGCTGCCCTTCCAAATGGTGAGGGGTTTTGGGCAGCAGAGTATGCGTTTCCCAACTTACACAGTATTTCAAGAAAGAAAAAAGAATCTTTTGTAGCAGTATTGTTTAATTTGAGAACACAGTGTAGGATTCTAGCTGTATTCTAGGCCCAGCTATGTGTTAGGGGCCCTGAGAGAGCTGCTGGCTGAAGGCAGGCTGCTCAGCACTGCCTGTGCTGTGACTGTGTTGACGGTGTGTGGGCAGCACGGGGGGAGCTGCTGCCCACCCATAGTCCTGCTGAACCAAGAGTCATCCCTTGGCTGTTTTCAAAACATCCTGGTTTTGTGTGAAAGGCAGATTTTTCCTCTAAAACTGGAGATGGCCAAGAGCTCCAGAATTTCTTTTATGGAGTCTGGAAAGTCTCTTCTCCATTTAAAAAAATCCAATCAGATGATATTTTAATTTTTTTTTTTTTTTTGCATGATAGCTAGCAGCAAATTACTGGGGGAGCACTGGAGTCACAAGCGTTGTTACAGTGGTTCAGGTAGCAGGCAAGAGCCCACCACTAAAACCCATCAGGCAGGGTTAGAGTGCTTCCTTGGGAGCAGCTAAGGAGCCAGAAGTGGATCAGGGACATGCTCTGTATCTCAGAGCTGATCTTTGCAGGCTGAGGGTGCCCTCCTATTGGGTTCCTGGTCCTTCACAGCTATCCTTTTACGCTGCAGCTGTGGGGATGGGTCCTGGAGCATCCTTGTCCACAAGCAGCTCCACTCATGGGCTCCTTTCGAAGGATAACTGCTGGTGCCTTCTCTTATCTCTTCACTTTGGCCCTGGGGCACAGTGGCTGGTGCTCAGTCCTGCCATCTGTTGCCATCACAGGTAAGGCAAAATCTAGTCCCTCACTTGGCCATGTTGCTGATTCTCTTAGAAATAGTCAGAATAACTGAGTACAGAGTTGCCCATGCTGGGAGTGAAACGGTGATTATGACCAGTTGCAAAGTGGGACACAACCTGCAAAGGGATTGGGCAGACCCCTGTGGTTTCCAAGGCCTTTCTCTCTTCTGAGCTTCTTGCTAACAACTATGTTTTAAGGTCCCTGGAGTTCAGAGACTTCCTGAAGACAGCGCTGGACAAGAACCCGGAGACCCGGCCCAGTGCCGCCCAGCTGCTGGAGGTAGGGACCCGCACCGGCCCCTGGGCTGGCTCTGCGGCTGGTGCCTGGGTCTGCGAGTGTCTGAACCGCCTGTGTCATTGGTTTCAGATGATTTTGGTCTTGTTTAGAATATTCATAGTACTTTTCAGCCACTAAAATGCTCCAAAAAGGAACAGCAATGTTCTTCCCTTTGGAGCAAACTGCAGAGCCCCTTTAGACACCAGCTGGAACCGAAATAGCTCCTATAACCTAAAGATTGCCCCCATGGCAGCCAGTTAGGATTATACCTGGTTATTCCAGGTTTAAATTCAATTCCTTTCCTTTCCTCCTGTCCCCTTCCAAAATAATAGCAAAAACCTGGAAGATGCTTTTCCCCACTGGCTGCAGACACTCTCGCTCTCCAGCGCTGGCACGCTGGCTGCACACTTCCCATCCCGAAACGGTGTCAGCGGGAGGAAGCATGCAACAGTCTCTGCAAACCCAAGGGACTCCCCAGCCTTTTGCGGAAGCTCAACACAAACACCCGGCTGTGCTCACTGAGCAACTCGAGCCCAGTTTCAATTAAACCTTCCCCCATGCTCTGTTTGCACCCAGGGATCCTGCAGTCTGGCTCTTGCCCCACTCCTGGTGGCACTCTGGGCTCAGACCTGCACCCTGGAGCTCAGCCTGCCTGCAGTAGGGGAGGATCTCTCCTCTGCAGCGAGAGTCCCATGTTTAAATGCAGCTGGTGCTTTTGTTTAGGGGATGTTGACATAAAGCAGCTTTGCAGAGCACCACACTTTGAGCATCTGTGTGCAGAGCTGTCACTTAACTTCAACATCGTGTTCTCTCTTGTTCTCCCTCATATATGTAGCACGTATCTATAAATTCATCGGGGGGGTTAAGCCTGGTGACACTGGCAAGAACTGTGTCCTTGGGTTTTTGTAGTTGTTTCAAAGCAAGAAGTGGTGCTTGCCATTGCCATCACCCTGCACTTGCTCAACTGTGAGCTCACAAGGTCTGTTTTTTTTGGCCATCTCACACATGTGCATTTTGCTTGGCTTTCAGCATCCCTTTGTCAGCAAAGTGACCAGCAACCGGGCCCTGCGTGAGCTGGTGGCTGAGGCCAAGGCCGAGGTGATGGAAGAGATTGAGGACAGTCGGGATGAAGCAGAAGATGACGACTCTTCAGAGTCTGCCTCGGTGAGCACTCCTGTCCCTGTGCTGGCAAGTTCGCCAGTGTAGCCGTGGCAGGGGAAAGAGCCTGGCAACTTTTCTAGGCTCCAAAAGGCTGGTTTATAGGTATTCTGGGCCCCATCAGGGGGAGGGGGAAGCAGTTGCTTGGCCAGGGAGGGGCTGTTTTTCGATGGCTGCCAAGGGCATGGAGAAACAATGATGCTGGCAGGTGGCCCAGCCACCCACTTGCAAGAGGGGCTTGCAAAAAGTGTTTAAAAAATTAAGAAAAAGTAGGGGAAAAAAAGTGAAAAGCAGGTCCTAGTACAGGCTGGAAAAGCTGGAGTGGAAGCAATGCCAGCAGCACGTGGTGCCACAGTGGGGCACCACCGGCCCTAGGAGGTAGCTGGACAAATCTGCCTCTGAGCTGGGCTCTTTGAAGGGAACATCTCAAGGCTTCCTGGGCAGCTTTGCTCAGGGATATGCCTCGACATCCCTCATCTGTGGCAAAGAACAGTGATTAATCTATGGTGGAGTTAGCCACGTGAAAAGGTGTTTGATATGCAAATTCCTGGGCTGCCTCTTAAGAATTTGGAGCTTCCCCAATATGCTGTTTCCTTCCAGCCAGTGTCCATAGTCCTTGGGACCATAAAACTGGAGAAGGATAGAAGTATCCCAGGACTGATGTCCTAAAAGGGAAGATTTCCTCCCAGTAACTCTTTAGTTGCGGGTGACTTTGCTCTGAAGCATGGGGACTTGCAGTTCTTGCAGTTGTGTTAAAGTGGTGGTGCAAAACCCAACACCTTCCCTTTGCTGTCTTCCCAGCCCCCTGGTAAGCACAAGCGGGACCCCTCTGAGGCGAGTCAGCTGAGTTTTGATGGGGAGAAGCCTCCAGACTCTTCCTTGCCCAAGGCAGTGAACGGGCCTGTGGGGTCTGGCAAGGAGACGACAGATGGACAGAGCGATAAAGTCTCAGATGAAGGGACAAGCAGTGACAATGACAAACTGGAGAGCAACCACTCCACAAAACCCCTTGCCAGCTCTGCCACCTTGGCCACCCAGGGCAAGCCAGACATCATCTCGCAGCCTGAACGGCGTAGTAACTCAATGGAGAGGGACAAGAATCCTGGACCAGGCAGCAAGGAGCGGAAGAGCATTGGGGAACGGCCGGAGAGCAGCCACCTGGAGAACTTCATGGAGGAGAAGCTTGCCAACGGGAGTTTGGAGCCCCCAGCTCCATTCCCCAGCAGCCGGTCCAAAGGGGATTCGGATTCTGGCAGCACTTCAGCCTCTGAAAGCATGGACCTCACCATGTCTGCTGACCTGTCCCTCAACAGAGAGAGTGGCTCCATCTCCCTGAAGGTAAGTGGTGGGCAGAGGGTGTGGAGAAGAAAGGGCAGAAAACCTCTAATAAAAAGTGCTGAAGCGTTTTTTTTTCCCTTTTTAGCCAAGTCCCCTGAAATTCAGATCTTTTCCTTGAGTGGCCATGCACATTCACACTTTGGCCATAGCCCCTTAAACATCTTCCTGAGAAAGCAGCGTGCTGTACTCTAGATGGGGTTAATCTTTGACTATAGGAGGAGAAATTGAGTTGCCCCCAGTCAGCCCGGTGCCTGACAGTGGGGAGCAGGTAAAGTAGGAGAGGACAGAGGCTGCATGAAGACAGGGAGTCAGGGAATCTTGCATTAGCACAAGGCTAAAGACCAGCCAGGTGCCACCCCAGTGCTATTTGGTGAGATAAATGGAAAGGCTGGCCGCAGCACTTGCAGTGTCAGTGTCCAGGCTTGGACCTTTGCAGATAAACATAGGGCCATCAAGGAGGAAGGAAGCCCATCTTTAGGCAGAGCCTTCGATGGTTGTTTTCCATGTCTACAGACGCTTGTCCCAGCTGGGCTTAGGGTGGCACAGCGCATACTGCTGGATTAAGCTGTGCCATGGATACGTGGTATGTCCTCAAGTGAAGGAGAAGCTCTTAGTGGAGCTGCTGCAGGTACGTGTGTCCTCTGCTGTTCCAGGCCAGTGAAATCTAATGGAAATACGATGTTCTGTAGCTATTTTGGGTCCCTGAGAAGTGTGAAGTAACCATGCCACTCACCTGACTTGTGGAGTCATACAGTCAGAACAAGGACAAGTATGAAACCAAAAATGTGATTTCCTAAACTTTATCCATTGCCATTCCTAGAACACCTAGCCCCAGGAAAAATCGTATTTGGGCTGGTGCCTCTCACAATTTTTCCAACCTGCTACACATCTGGCCTGGTTTGTGTCAGCAGTGACTTGCATGAAGACCTCCCAGGCTTCTTGGCTTTTGCTAAAGGTTTTCTGAGGCTGGGAATGCTTGTGAGTCAGAGCCAGCCAGGTCAGCATGGCTTAGAGGAAGAGGCAAAGTAACTGGAATGATATTTGCTGAGCTTCAAAAGAAGAAATGTGTGTGACTTGAGGGGGCATAGTGATCTGTTGCACAAGATCTTTATCCAGTTGCCTGCATGACTGATAGCTTCCCAGCACAGAAACATGCTGCAAAACCATTCTCTGCAAAACTTTCCTCCCCTCCTGTCTCCTGCTGTGAGCATGAGAGCCAGCATCCCCTGCAGGAGTCCACAATCAATGTAGATCCTTAATGAGGGAAGCATGATGCTCTTGCATAGCAATTTGCCTCTTTTCACTGCCTTTCCCATGACACCTGGTGTCCTTGAGGCCAGCCAAAGATTAATATAATGCCACATGTGTAACTGCTTTCCCTAGTTAGTCCCCTAAAAGGGGAAATGATTTTTTTGGAAGTAAGTCTTTGAGATAGTCATATTAGATCATGATTTGAATTGCCCCAGCCAGAGGTAATGCTCAGAACAAACTAAAGGGCATCTCTCCAAGCAAGGTGTTCAGGCAGAGCTGTTCTCCAGGAGTGATGCTGCTGGAGGGCCCTGGGAAAGGTGCTCTGCTGAAGCTTCTGCTTTGCACAATGAGCTGTGAGTACATGTGGGGTACCAGGCTGTGCTGCTTGCTCCTCACCCAGGCTCCTTGCCCAGCCTTAGCTTCATGGGGTTAAACTCCCTGCTCTGCCCTTGCTTATGTTTCTGGTGCTGCTGGGTTTCATGCACAGGGTGCCAGACAGGTTGCCTCAAGAGAAGGGACAGCAAAGAGTTAAACCATTTCTGGTTATAAACATTAACTTTTTATCACAGGCTAAACTGCAAATTTAAGGTGACTTTTTTATTACCAGACTCTTTTTCCAGTTACTTATAGTTCAGTCCAAAGTAAAAAAAAAAGTTTTGGCAAAAGGTATCCAGATCTTTTCTTTTTTTAGAAAGATTAGGGATAAGAAATCTACAGGTGAATTTGGGAGGCTGCAGCTGGCAGAGAAAACAGTCAGAAATGGGCAGAAGGAGACAGGGTTTTCAAAAGGTAAACCAAACTTTCTGTGGAGGGAACTCATTCTTTTGAGTATCTAGCTTGAATTTCTTAAGTCTGACCTGCATGGCTACTGGGAGTTCACAGCTTTGGCTGAAACCCTTGGGAGCTGGAGGAGGCACACTGGGATGTGCGCTGTGAAGTGTGCTCAAAGTGGGGACTCAAAGTCAGCATCCCATATGACCACAGTTTCTCAGACTCTTCTCTGGAGAACAATTTATTTTACAGGAATATTTGTAATTACATTTACTCGTATTCAGGAGAGGATGCTGGCCTGCTACCAAGGGATAACAGAAAAGACCAGGAGAAAATAATTCTGTTTTTAGATCTACATTTGAGTAGCTCCATGAATAAGGCAGGGAGCTGCTCGTTCAACAGTGGGGAAGAGCCTGGGGACTGCTTGGGGACCAGGCACCACCCTGGCTGCAGCAGCCCCGGGTCGTGGTTTGAATGGGCACTGGGGCTGGAACAGACAGCTGAATGTTGGCATTTCTCATTTGGAAAATGCAGGAGTTTTAGCCAGCTGTTTTCATTCAGTTTGGGGTAGTAAGAGCCTTTGTGACCTAAGCTGCTCTTATGCAGCTCCGTGTTGGCTGAACCACAACTATAGTGGCACGTTGTTACACAGTGGGCAAGTTGCATGCCCTTGGAGTTTCTCTGGCTCCTCCACTGCAGCTAGCTCTCCAGGGGCTTGCTTTGGGCCTTTCCAGCTCACATGAAGCTCTTCTGTCATCTTCTATAACTGTAATGGTCATGACTGTAAGAGCAAGAGGACTTCAGGGAGCCTTTGCTCATTCCACCGTTGTGCTTTCCCTGTAGGGCTGCATGATTAAGTCGTTCATATAATTATTATTATTTTTTGCCAAAGTAGCAGAGTCCCTGGACACAGTCCTTCAGCCAGGCTTGGGCTGCTGACGCTGCAGAAGGATGTGGCGCTGCTGGGAGAGGCTGCAGTGCTCCTGGCACTTGTCCCTACCTGTGCTAATGGAAGCGAGCCTGGGCTGTGCTTTGTGGAGGTCACTGTAAGGGGCTCAGAGCTGGCTGTGATTAGTGAAGTATTGTAATGAGGGCCAGAGGGACCCTAGTGCTGAGCCTTTGGATGGGGCTGGCTTGTTTCCCTGTGACTCCATCCACAATCGCAGCCTGATGCGGGGGCCTTGCCTGCCTCGCACCTGCAAGAGGGTACGTGTGGGGGGGCCCGTGGGTCGGATGGCCCAGGAGCCTTCAAAGGAACCATTGCAAGCTTCCCGTTGTGTGGATTCCTCGGCAGTGCAATTCAGGGGGGTCCTAGCATCCCCCATCAGGCTTCACTTGAGTTAGATATGGCAAGGAAGGGTCTTCAGGTGGTGGGGTGCCTATCTTCCAGGTCACGTTTCTGCAGGGTGGGACTGCAGCATGGTAGAAAGGCTGTGGGGCTTGAATGGCAGCTCTAAATCTGCTGATGATTTTTACCTGATGTGGTTTGCTTATGTTCTTTATTAACAACGGCATCAAAATTGCTCTGAGACTTCCAGCTGTAGCACCCCGTGCAACAAGCCGGGTAGGTGCTTCATGGCTGCCTCCTTTCCTCCCCTGCCGACTCAGGATTCCCGGATGCACAAGAAGACACTGAAACGCACACGCAAGTTTGTGGTGGATGGAGTAGAGGTGAGTGTCACCACCTCGAAGATCATCAGTGAGGATGAGAAGAAGGATGAAGAGATGAGATTTCTCAGGCAAGTGGGTCCCTGGGAGGGAGGGAGGGCAGGGTTTTCTTCTCCACAGGCAAATCCAGGAGTGACCTAAAGTCATCTCATTTTGTGTGTTGGTCCCGCTTGGACAGGACAACTGTCCAGTACAGACATCACTTTTTTAGCCTTTCTTTGGCTGGCAGAGTGCTTGCCGTATGTTGTAAGCAGAGCTCTATTTGCATGTTGCATGCAGGGGAACAAAGGGTGCGTCTCGGGGATAAGATGCAGCAAGGCTATGACGAGGGGTGGTGACTGAATGTCTCTTCAATTCTGTAGATGTGCTGGCTCAGTGGAAATAAGCACAGAAGTCTTCTCAAGATGCTTCTCTTCCTTTTGTTCTTGTATGTCCTCAGACTTCATTAACAGAAAGGCCAAGGGAGTTGTAAACTTCTTGAGCATCACTTAATATTCATGTGTGTATCCTCCCTGCTTAAGTCTTTCTGACTCCTTTGCAGATCTTATAGCTTTCAAACCTCAGTGACCTATTGTCAGGAAGAGAAACTGCTGTTTCTTCCTCTGTTACTATCAGTAGCAGCACTGAAATGAGAAGGCCATTGAAATAATTAAAATACAAATTGTTTTGCTTGATGCCCTATACTAGGCTCTTTTGTGCTGCTCTGAGGGACTTCTGAGAATATAGTTTGTCCCAAGCACTGTGTGTCCCTTCAGCAGCCTTATTCCTAGGCTCTTATATCAGATCTATGCAGAAGCTCATTAACTACTCTTTTTTTTTTATATTAGAAGTGCATATAACACCAATAACATGGGGACCATGTACTAGCCTACAGGGAGTTTCCAGGCAAAGCTGCTTTCTCCCAGTCCACTCTAAGCTCTGGTGGCATCCCTGAAAAGATGCTAATTTTTAAAATAGTGTCTGCTTCATCTGTGAGGAAGAGACAAAGAGGCTTGAGCTGGAAAGCATCAAGTCTCTGAACACCTTCTGGGAGAAGTGTTTATTCCCCTGGGGCTAGCTGGAGGGCATGATCAACTCTCCTGGCATCTTGATTTGCACTTATGGGGCTTGCTTCTGGCTTTTTGGAACATGCCAAGCTATTGATTTGAAAGCAAGATCACAAGAGAGCACCTCGTATTGCACCAGTTGATTTAATGGGGCTTGAGTTTGTTTTGAAAGAAGAAATTGTTTCTAAGTGCTTTTCCCAGGAGGGTCCCCACAGAGTTTTGGACTCAATGAGTCGGGCTAATGCACAGCAGTGGAGGTCATGGTGGGATTCCTGCATGGAGAAACTGCTGCTGCGGTTCCTTTTGCATGGCACGTCAGTGATTTCCAGCTCGATTGGGCATGAACATGGCAAATGGGCTCAAACGCAACCATCTGAGCAGAGGCTCCCTTTTGCTGGATGTGAAGCTGGATGAGGGGGGTGATACAGTGGTGTGGTAGATAGGTCAGAATTGGGGAAAACTGCCCTTTCTGCCACCCAGGTGTGAGCAAGAACAGATGGGAAGCGCAGGGGCCAGGCCAGAGCAGTGCCAGCTTGGCTTGAGCTATGTTCTGAAGACCAGTATGCACTACCCCAGCTGGCAGAATGGGTATTTTGGGTGCTGGCTGGGGGAGCAGTGCCTGCAGAATCACCTTAGAAGCTTTGACAGGGCTTGTTTGAGAAGCTGTGATTGCTAACAGGCCTTACCTGTGAAAACTGACAGTTTTCCAACCGTTACCATAATTAGCATCCTGCTTTCCTTGCAGTGCTCTGGTGTCACAGAGCCTGAGAGCACATCAGCCAGTTGGCATTTACCTCCTGCCTGTGCTCAAAGCATCTGGCAGGGCTCTGCAGAGTGGCTCTGTGGCTTTCATTCCCCGCTGGAGTGCTCCGGTTACAGATTCTGACATCTCCGCTCAGGCACATGCCTCTGAACTTGTCTGACTCTGTATTTTTCTCTCCCCTTCCATTTTAACCCTCTGCAGGCGCCAGGAGCTGCGGGAGCTGCGTCTCCTTCAGAAGGAGGAGCACCGAAACCAGGCCCAGCTCAACAGCAAGCACCAGCTGCAGCTGGAGCAGATGCTCAGGCGCTTCGAGCAAGAAATGACGGTACGTGGGCAGGGAAGGGGGACCTCCTGGGTATCGGCTGGTTTGACTTCTCCTCTGCAGATGCCCTGCAAACTCTTGCACAGGGTGATGCTCTCTAGGTTGTAGCAGTCCTGGGGCATCATGTCTGGAGGGAGCAGGGCCGCTGAGGAACCCCTTGGGGTTATGGGGCATGGGATGCATCGGTGGAGGATGGAGACTTTTGTGGGTGTTCAGCACGTGCGGCCTGAAGCTTGGGAAGCACTGGCTGCCATTGCCTGGCAAGGCGCAGCCTGAAAAGGGTTGTTCTGGACCTTCCCTCTTTAATGATTTTTTTTTTTTCTTGTATGTCTGTTCATGGCTACTGTGAGAAACAGTTTACAGTGCTGTTGTATTTCACAGAAGAAAACCTTTAAATAAGAAAGCAGTGTGGCCAGCGTGTGACAGCAGGAAATCTGGCAAGTCTTTGAGTGTAAATTGAATAAACAGAGCTTACAGACTTAGTCCCTCCATGGGCAGCTTCTGTTGAAGTTAAACAATTTTGTAGATAAGTCCCTTTAAAGCTTTCATGAGCCATCTTTTAGATACCCCTTTATTAATTCACCTAGCATGTGTGCCTGGCAACCCCATCCCCTTGCAGAAGGCTGGGAGCCATCACTGATTCGTGTGCTCTGTAGTATTTCTAGTCTTGACATGCCACGTCTGTGAATTCTCATCTTAGCAAGTCACTTTTCATTTGTGAGATTTAATTACCGTACAGTGTGATGTGCAAAAGCTCCAAACCTGCTTCCTTTACCCTTTCTCTTGAGCAGTTTGCAACCTGGTCTTGTTGACACCTGGGTGCTCCATCCCTGCAGCTCACAGGGAGGAAGATATCAGACACAGGGGTGCTGTCAGAGCAAAGTGACCTCAGACTTGGAAATCCTTGTCTGCAGAGAAAGAACTATTATGCTTGAGCTTCACTGCCTGCTAATATTTGCCCAGGGCCATGGGTCCCAGTAGGATGTTGCAGATCAGGACATAAGCAGAAGAAAGGCTTGAAGTGTATCGGCGCTAGAACAAGATCGAAAGTGCTTTGTGCTCACACTAGAGCTATCTCTGCCCTGTGTGCTTCGTGGGGTGCTATTTGGAAATCTCTCCTTAGTAAAGAGGCTCAGTCCATGCAAGGAAAACCCCTTCCTCCTTTTTTCTTCTTTTTTTTTTTTTTTTTAAATACTTTTGGAAGGAAATGAAACAGAGAGGGGGATGAGGTTGACCTCTGTTCCCTTCCCATACAGACAAAGAAGAAGTTCTATGACACTGAACTGGAAAACCTCGAACGGCAGCAGAAGCAGCAGATTGAGAAGATGGAACAAGATCACTCGCTGCGCCGGCGGGAGGAGGCCAAGCGCATTCGCCTGGAGCAGGAGCGGGACCATGTCAAATTCCTGGAGCAGCTGAAGCAGATGAAGAAGGAGGTAAAAATGGGGATAGGATGGGGGAAAGCTGGTTTCCTGCATCTGTTCCTTCCAGGAAAGCTTTAGCATTTCTCTATAGCAGAACTTGAGAGCTAAGCAGTTGTTGGTGTTTTAGCAGGAAGCTCTTGCTTTTTTATTGTATATTTGGGTATTTCCTGATGTCCAGCTGTTTAGCAACATTAGGTGGGGTTGTTCTTGGCCTAAAGTTACCTGCAGATAAATCTCATTTCCCTCCCAAAGGTCAAGAACGAGGTTGAGAAGCTGCCACGGCAACAGCGGAAAGGGAACATGAAGGTGAAGATGGATGACTTTGCCCAGAAAAAACAAACCATGGTAAGGCTGAGGGAAGATTACCACAACTCCAAGACTGGAAAGTGTGTAGTAGACAGAAGCATCCTTCCTTCTTGAGGGACTGGCAGTCTCTGAAACACAACCAGATGCTTTTCAAGTTGCAACAGAAGGAGGGCTCATTGTGGTACTGCTGTTTTCTTCCAGGAACAGGAGTTTTTGGCCAAGCAGAAGGAGGACCTGGAGCTAGCCATGAAGAATATAACCTCCCAGAACAAAAGAGAGATCTGTGACAAGGAACGCGAGTGCCTGAACAAAAAGCAGCAGCTCCTGAGAGGTAGGTGGCAAAGGCTGTAAAGGAGGAAATCAAATGCTGTAACGATGGGTTTATCCAATGCTGGCTCTTCCCACACAACAGATGCTGTGACAGAGTTGCAAGCTGGCAGGATAGGATTTAGAAAAAACAGCCTTGCCAGATACTGTCTAAATGTTTAACAATAATAATACTTAGCACTTTAATCTTCAGAGTGCTTTACAAATATGAACCAATTAGAATTCATAATTGCAAGAAATGATTCTCCAATATGGTTTGCAACCAATTTCTCTTGGAAAACAGGAGGTGAACAATCACCCCCCCATATCTGCTGCACTGCTCCTGCGTGTAGGGATCGCTCATGCTTGGGACGCTTTGGGTGACCAAACTGGGGGGGCCAGGGTGGGTTGTGTCCTGACCCTTCTCCCTTCCTCAGACCGAGAGGCATGCATCTGGGATCTCGAAGAGCATCAGCAACAGGAGAAGCACCAGCTTGTCAAGCAGCAGCTAAAGGACCAGTATTTTCTCCAGAGGCATGAGTTGCTCCGGAAGCATGAGAAGGTGACCAGTTAGCACCTTCCTATGCTGGTGCTGGTCAGCAGGGTGCCTGGGTGTCCCCAGAAGGGATGTTTCCCTTCTAGGCTGTAAGTGGGTAAGGGTGGGTTAGGAGTTAAGGGACTTGGTCATTATTAGTGAAAAGGGACCAGAATAATGCTCAGATCAGCATACTTGCTTGGGACATGTATTCTGTGCTGCATGCATTTAGTGTGTAAGAAGCAGTTGTGAATCTGGGGGGCTTTTCTGGAAATCTGTCACTGTCCAGTATGTGGGATGGTGCATTCCCAGGGCAACGAGTGAAGACTGGCATATCTCACAGTTGTTTCTGTTTCCTTCCAGTCCCCTTCTCCTCTGCTTTCACAGCACGTTCAGTAGCTGCCCTCACCTCATGTCCCCTTGGAGCTGTCACCAGCCACCTCCGTGTAACTCCCAAATCTCCTCTCCAGATCTCTCTGGTCTCCTCAGCACTTTCTTGTTGGTCTGAGGTGTCCCTCCTCCTCTGATACCTGTCCCTCTGCTGGTGCAGGAAAGGGAGCAAATGCAGCGATACAACCAGCGCATGTTAGAGCAGCTGAAAATTCGGCAGCAGCAGGAGAAAGCCCGACTCCCCAAAATCCAGCGGAGCGAAGGGAAGACACGCATGGCCATGTACAAGAAGAGCCTTCACATCCACTCCAGTGGGAGTGCATCCGAGCAGCGGGAAAAGATAAAACAGGTCAGGTCTTGCAAAGGGCACCAGGGTTGAGGCTTGGCTTGGGGGTGCAGTATTTCACTGGCCTACTGGCAGAAGGGAAGTTGAAGTAGGCAGCTGTTCCCAAATTTCTGCCCTATGTCAAGGAGTCAGAGGCCTTTTGCTTGGGTGTGTTTTTCAGCGCTGCTTCCATCATGACTAGTGTTGGAAAGCATCCTCGGGGCCTTTCTTTCTTTCCTATATAATAGCGCAAGCTGGCCAGTCTTTTAACCAGCTTCAGACATCAGAGCAATGCTGCCTACACGGGCACCTGCTTTTCTCTCTTCCAGTTTGCTCAGCAGGAAGAGAAGAGGCAAAAAGCAGAGCGGCTGCACCAGCAGCAGAAGCACGAGACGCAGATGAAGGACATGCAGGCCCAGTGCGAGAGCAACACAAACGAGCTCCAGCAGCTGCAGGTACCCGTCCCCGTGTCTCGGTCTCTCAGAGCTGCCTGTGTGCTCTTTCTGCTCCAGCACAGGGAGTGTGTCAGAAGGGGCAGCTACAGAGGACTGGCAGTGAACTAGACCTGATGTCCCCTTGCTCTGCTTTGAGAGGTTTCTGTGGCCATGTCTAAACGTGCCCTGGAGCTCAGAGTTCTGAATACCTCTGGCTGATGCAAGTCCTGTTTGACCCTGGATTTACGGGTTCAGCTGTTTAATGGGTGTTCTGTTTTGTGATCTGTGTTTAGAATGAAAAGTGTCACCTCCTGATTGAGCATGAAACCCAGAAGCTTAAGTCCCTGGATGAGAACCACAACCAGCACATGAAGGAGTGGCGCGACAAGCTGAGGCCACGGAAGAAGGTAGAGCCTCCTTGGCATGAGCAGGGTGTCCTGCTTGGCTAGTTGGAGGGGACAGTGTCTGTAGCTCCAGTACAATCGCAAATACAGCTCTTGTGTGTGTTCCCTTCTGCTTAAGGCCCTGGAGGATGAGCTGAATCAGAAGAAGCGTGAGCAGGAGATGTTCTTCAAGCTGAGCGAGGAGGCAGATGGACAGACACCTGCATCCCCAACCAAACACGCCAAGTTCGTCCTATTCAGCTCCGCAGAGAGCTCGTAACACCCTGCAGCTGGCAGGCCACCAGCTGGTACCTGCTGTGTCCTCCTGGGCAGCAGGTGGGCAACTTGGACTTGGAAGATCCTCTCGGCAGCCTCTTCTTACAACAGCACCCTCCTGTCCCCTCACTCTGTCTGGGATAAATGTGGCCTCTGTCCTGCACTGGGGATGCTGGCTGGAAGTTTTGGTGGCTTTTCCAGGAGCTGGCCCGCCCAGCACAGCTCCAGGCTGGGACGCCCGGCAGGACCCTTTCTGCGATTGTACTTGCACTGTTTGCTGGATGCGTCGCCTCTCACGTGAGCCTGGTGCTCAGTGGGCTTGTCAGCTTGAAGTAAAGCAATAACTGCTCTGAACAGGAGCAACAGGCGATGGCTCCTGCCCTCCGAGTAGGGGTTATCAGCCTCTCTTTCCACTGTTGCTGCTCCTCTTCCCAGTCCTCTGTAAGGACTAGTCTAGGGCAGAGCAGCTTTGGAGTTGTCTTAGGCTAACCTTGGCCTTGTGGCCTCCCCATACTTCCCTTAGATGCATTTCTGTCTACTGTGGCCCTTTTTTGCTTAAGGGAGAGACAGTGATTTGGATATTTTTGCCTTTGAAGAGGGAGGCTTGGGTTTTTTCTTTCCTCTTCCTCCCCATATGCAGAAAGGGGATGTCCTTCCAAAAATGCTTCTGCTTCTTCATTTGCTGTGATTGCTGGCACCACACTCCCTCTGGCACCTAGCTATCACTATCTTTTCAGAGACTGCACTATGGCGTAATTAAACTGTTCAGCTGGCTGCAGATTTTTGTCTCTTAAAGAAGTGTATGTGTGTGTGTGTAGAGGGGGAGGTTTGTAACGGTGCTCAGTCTCGTGGTTGACACAGTGAGGTATTGGTCACAGTCATGCGCCTTCTGCTAAGGACAAGTTTGGGGCTGAAGGGTGTTACTTCTGGAGCCCTCATGATCACACATGTGCTTGAGATCTTTTTTAAAGTGTTACATATGTGTGGGCCATGGGGGTCAGCCAGCTTGGCCACTCTGCAGTCAGAGTTACAGGCTGCAAAGCATGATTTGGAAGGAATAAAGGAGTCTTGAAACAAGGGATGCAATGGAAGAAGAGATGCAAAGACAGGTCATGATAGCTTGTTACTCTCAGCATTGCTTTCTCCACTGATGTCTCATCTCCTTATGATGTGCCACAGTTTCATGGATGATTCTCCTGGCATTCAGCTTGGAGTCACACTGCAGGGCAGCAGCACATCCAGCCCTCTGTTCTTTCTGCTCCATGGTGATGTGTCTCTGTTGGGCTGCCTTCCTCCACCTGCACGAGGCAGTGCTTGGCTGAGCGGCTCGGTAGGATGCAGAGCACAGACCTGGGTAGGGGGACAGAGACCTCACGGGGCAGCACCTTCTTCTTTACACAACCAAAAGGTGTAAGGTAGCACTTAAGGTTTTCCCTCTGTTGCTCTCTGGACAACATTGTTTGTTTTAGGCCTGCTTCCCTATCAGGAAAAAATGTTTCTGTTAAAAAAAAAAAAAAAAAAAAAAAGTTGTTTTAAAGTCTTGTATGTTGATTTAGAGACATACTGGCATTTCAGAAAAAAAGTGGTATGTGATGTGCTACATTTCTAGGTACCTAGCTGAAGGAGTCAGCCCCCAGGCCCTTAACACCTCTTTATATGAGATAAAGTACACTATTTCCTACCCCTTTACAGTCTACAATACATATTTATAAGCTTCCTGCAAACTAGCAAGACTACATCCATTTGGGCCATTCCAAGCTTCTGAATCCACACCATTAATGTCTCTATTTATAAAGATAGCCTAGATGGACATTTCAGGGCTGGGACCCTTTGCAAACAGACTGCTTATCAGCTTTTCAGTAACTAGCCTGTCCTCCTAGGAAGACTGCCTGTCCCGTTGATTGTGCCTTTCAGATGCGATAGTGCCAGGATGGGAGCTGATGTAAAATTAACGAATGCAGAAGGTTGTTCCTGAACCAGGACAATGCTGGTTTGAGCCTTTTAATTGCATTAGAAATGTGTTTTATCAGCCCCGGTGGTTTTATTCCTGGTCCCATGGGGGTCAGGCTGGAGCTATTCTATGAAATGGTTGTTGTCACAGACATCAGTACCTGGTGCATGTTCTTCACATGTTACATGTGACTTGCAGAAGGATGTCCTGCAGCATACTGTTCATCCAGCTGAAGGGCATTGCCGCCTCCACCAGCCCAGGGAGTGACAGCTCTCTCTGGATATTGTGTAGCCATGAGGAAGGAGACTATTTCTGGGGGCTTTTAAAGAGCTAGTGTGATGCCCCCATGATACATCGGTTGTCCCTTTCTCCAGTTCAGCTTATTTGCAGCCTGGAGCTACCAACATAGTTTTGCTTTTGCTAACAGGGAGTGGGAATGGTTTTGTCCCCTGCTTCTTCCCTGTTCTCTCTTCCCTCTCCAGGTATGCCAGGGCTCCAGTACTGTCGCCCTCCTAGAAGAGGGCAGGGCAGTACATCTTTTGATCGTCATGTTTACAGGGTGGTTTTTCTTTGCCCCCTTTCAAAAGAGGATGTTTTTGTTGTTTCCTGTTCAGAATGAACCATGAATAAACCCAGCTTGTTTTTGAGGGGGGATGGGATGCCATTGTTTTCTAAATGTGGCTTTGAATAAAAAGGTTTTTTTAATATTTCATCTTCAGTGGGGCCACCACTGTGATGTAAAGACCCTTCTAATAAAGTAACAGACTGAGAAACCCGGGCCTGTGTCTGGTTTCCTGTCTGATCACCAGCTGTAGCCTCAGACTGGCTTTGCTTCTAGTCTGGGTTTTGCTGACTTATGGAAACCTCCAGAGCCAGTTCTGGCATGTGAACCTTGCAAGACTGAATTTCCAGTTCTTTAAAACAGGGCTAGCTGTTTCAGAAGCATTTCTGCTGCATGCTGCAGCTCAGTGACGGTAACATCTTTGCTATGAAGCTGAAACTCTGGTAGACCTTAAGTGAAGCAGCAGTTCCCTTGGACTTCATTGTGTGTTAAAATAGTGCTCGGCTGACCCTGCTTGGTGAAGAGGGAGTATTGCACCCTACTGCCTGAAGAGTGCAAACCACCTATGCATGGCTTTTTCTTCCTTTTAATTAGCCTGCCTGGCTTTAGCAGAGCATCTTGGACAAATGCCTCAGCTCCCTTGCTTTGGCAAGACAAGTTGGTCCTAAGGATGCCTCCCTGTCTCCTCCCACACTGTCGTCTGCTGAGGAGTTCTTGGATCTGGGGGATGTGTTATGCAGCTGAGACACAAGTCGTATCTTCCCCTGTCAGTGCATGGGCAGATCTCTCCTTGCTCCCTTGGGTTACTCAGAAAACTCTGTAACCAACCACAGGACCTATGTGGGCTTTGTTTTCTGCTCAGAGATTTTTACCTGTCAGTTTAGTTACAATTTCTTTCATCCAGACGCCCTCTGCCAAGTAAGGACACATGATGTGCAAGGTGTGCAGCTTTGACATGAGCCCATGGAGCTGGTGTGGTTTTCGCCTCATTTTTGTAAGGTTGATCCAGAGCCCGACAACTTCTACCTTGAGTTTCGTGCTGGAACTGACCTTGCTACCACTGTCCACCCTGGTTAAGTTAATATTGCAGGTTGTGAGTTCAGACACGAGGTGCTGAAATGGAAAGGAAGTTGGTACTGTAAGTCGTTGCTGATGGGATTTTAAACAGACAGAACAAGGATGAGAGAAGGACAAGAGCAAAGCATGACAGTGTCTGTCTCCTTGCTCCATGAGAGAATAAGAAATAAAGTATCTGAGGACACATAATTAGCCATCTCCTTTGTTTTACATGTACCAGGACTGCACCATCTCCTAGAACACACCAGTCAAAAATGATCTGTCTCAATGTATCCCAGTGAACCACAGGATCTCATGGGAGTATTTAACTTCATCTGCATGTCCTTGGCAGTGCCTGAGGGGAGCTTCAACTGTGAGGTTACTTATATGTATAAATATATGTTGGAAGTAATGTGTGTTCCAGAAATAACTATTATTTACCATTCTGCCCTGGTATAATGCTGAAAACAGAGCAAAAGTAAAAATCTTCCTTAATTTCTAAAAACGGAGATGACAGGCCTGAAAAGTTGCTGGTGCTGCAGCAGCTGTAGCATTCTCAGCTCTCCTCATTAGCCCCTCTGTGCTTTGTGTCCTGTCATGTCTGGGCTCTGAGCTGCCCAAAGGCTTTTGCAGTGTTCCTGCTGTGATGGGGATGATGAAACTCTCAGGGGGAAGAAAAAGCAGGGCAAGCAGGGAGAGTCACAGAGTTGGGGCTTGTGCCTAACAGCCTTCCTCCTTATGGCTGCATCTGCTCTCCCTCCTTCTCTGCAGGAGGACAGCTGGAGGTGAGCACTGCCATAGGCACGTCCTTCAAAGGTCATCCGCACCCTGTTAAGCCAAATGTTGCACGTTCTCCTGATGCACTGGCCCCTGGTTTAATTCTCCAACTGCCAGACAACTCAGGGCTCAAGCAAGCCAAGCCTCTGCAGAGAATGGTGGCTCTGCCTTGCGGGTGGGTTTTGTTGTTGCCACTCCCCTTGGTGGGATGGGGCTGGGTGACAGGGACACATCGCCCTGGCACCCCACCTGCCCTCACAAGCACCCACTGGGACTCCCCTAGGCCTGGTTTCCAGGCTTGCAAGGGATGCAGGGGTGACGTTTGCTCTTCTTTCTCTTGTTCACTAGGTGGCACGCACACTGAAGCAGCAGCCCTGGGCTCCTGAGCCCAGCTGCTGCCTGCACAAGTGCAGAGCCGGAGCTGAGCTGTCCTGTTGCACTGAAATGTTTGCTTACTCTTTTTCCTGGATTCATCGTTTGCTGTGGTACACTGTACACCACATATCTGCTTCTCGTCGGTGCTTCAGTACTTTGTCTCCTGTTCCAGCACTGTCCTCAGGAGCTTTCTAGAAGTTTTCATGTGTGCCAGGACAGCCTCCCCCATTTGGGGTCTAAGCATCCCCTCCATGGGGTTTGCTTCTCCCTGCTGCCATACCTCTGTGCAGGATGGGTGCAGTCTGCTGCCAGGCTGACTGTGATGGGTGGCATCCACACCACATAGCTAAAACCTGCAATACCAGGGTAGAAGCTGGGGAAAATTTTTCCCAGTGGTGGCTAAGAACCAGCGCAACCCAGCCCTGGTGTTACTGTGGGTAACCCCTGCTCTGCTGGGCTTCAGCTGCAAAGACTTGCCCTCTGTTGTGGTAGGAGAATCATTTTTGACTAATCTTTGTGAAGGATCTCAGAGAAAACGTATTTTTTTCTGTACACAGGGAAGAACCAGGAACATTTAGCCACCTGGCACACACTCGTAATTCTTAAAGTAAAAAGCAAGCAGCAACAGTGGCCTCTCCATGCCAGAATGGCTGAAGATAGTGCTTCCTCTGCAGTTCAGGGCTGACAGTGGGGCGCTGCTTTCTCATGCTGTTCCATCTCTGGCACCTGACAGACCTCAGGGACAGCCCAGCTGTGCCCAAACAGCTGGAGCCTGCTTACAGCCAAGCAGAAACCCATTTGCACATCCAAGCTGATGGCTGGCTTTTCAGAAGTCATTTGCCCTCTTGCTTTAAATTGCTCAGCTGATCCTGACAGAGAGAAGGGAGAGCACACACGGGGTTGAGGAGATCTTGACTCTTGAGTGGGTGGTGACATCTCCTGTGCAATTATTTTGTTTTGCTTAACAATACTTCAAACTTTGGTTAGGGCAGTGGGAGATGACTTGTTTATCCCCAAACTCCCCTCAGCTACACCTGTACCCTTGCACCACCTTACCTCACTGTAGGAAGGGCTGCTGCCAGATCTTTGCTGCTCCTGCAGCCACACCATGAGAGGTGTGGGCCAAGCATGGGACTCCCGCGTCAATCACAAACCCCTCATTTGGGCTTCCTTAGCAAATGCTTGGCACTTCCCTTGATAAATTACTGAGTTGCAGTAGAGCCCAAGCCAGACTGTACATCTCCACAGCCGGCTTCCCTCCGGAGGCGATCAGGTCAGCATGCAAAGCTGCACTCCGCTCGTCTCAACAGCTCTCGTCAGACTCGTTAATCAAACACAGGAGCCATTTTGCAGCATTAGCTGTGATTGTCCCCAACCTCTGCTTGTTCCTGGGTGCTCATAAGCTGCCAGGCTGCAGCCAGTGCTCATCCTGCTGGGGTCCAGAAGCGATGGAGTCACTTCAGCAGGTTATGGTGCTGGGGAAGCGATGCCAATGCCTAAGTGCTTCCAGCTGATTTTGTGCAGTCACTTGGCTCTTTTTCAGTGTTGGTAGGCCTAGGGTGGGTTTACACTGGAAGGCATGGATACAATAATGCCCGTGTGTAACAGGCTGGCTGTCCGATACACATGATTTATACCAGAAATAAAGGAATGGCCCAACAGCCTGGCAACTTGTGGCAGTCATGGGGCTGCATCCAGGACAGTACACAGCAAGGAGCTGGAAGGTGAAAGCAGGAGACCAGGGTCTGGTCCCGGGAGCAGGTAGGTCTAAGATGCTGTGAGAGCTCATTCATATGTTCTCTTTTTGCTTTCCAGGTCACACATCTCCATGTGGGGACCTTCTGGCACAGGGAAATGGATTTATCAGCAAGGGAATGTCCAAAGTTTTTGTGCACCCCTGAGAGGGAGAGGTGGGCGCAAATCTTCCCAAAGCAAAGCGCCTTCTGTGTCCCTCTGGGGTGCTTCAAGCTCAGGAGTGAAGTGTCCTTCACAGTGTCATGGCGTGGGGGGGTCATTCTGTCTCTTGTGACTTCCCAACTGTGGCAGTGGAGCCAGGATTAAAGGGAAGGGGGAGGCCAACTTGAAGGTTGCTGATGAAGGTGCACAGAGGTAGGGTGATCCACAGCAGTTGGGGATGGCCTTGTGGAGGGGAGTTCAGGGAATGGGCACTGCAGCTGTAAAAATGGACAGAACTTGCATCCCTCCACCAAATCCACCATCCACCTCCATGCTGAAGTGACAGTCTGGAGTAAGGATTTCTGTCCCCTCAAGTCTGCGGCCAGTATGAGATGACAGAAACACCAGTAGGGATGAGGCTCCTTTTGGAGCCATCTCATAGACTTCCCTGCTTGTTCTCACACTTTGCTTCTGCTGCTGGTCCTCACTGTGCTGGCCATCAGGACAGCTCTGCCACCCGGCTGGCGTGCTGGGCAGGGTCCTGCGTGCTGGGGATGTTGCAGCTGGTGACACCTGGGACTCGGCTGCCTGCCTGGCACCCCCACTGTCCTACACCATCTCTCCATGCTGCAGCTATCACTGCTTCTAAAGCTAAACCAAACAAATCTGGAAAGAAAACACAGTTTAGCCTCTTTGTGGATGCTGCACCTATAGGTCAATATGTTTGTTGAATTGTATATTCTTGATTTGCTCTTCCCAGGCAGGTTTTTTAAGTATTTTTTTTTTCCCCCACGGACTGACCCTAGGGTTCATGGGTAGTGAGTCCAAGGTGTCTTGATGGTGGGTTTTGTGTCAGTGTACAGATGGACTGGGCAGCAAGATGACCAATCTGGCTATACTGTTAGCAATGCATGAGGGGTGTGCGGTCAGTCTGCGCGCTCCTGTAAAACCAAATTACCAGACTGCCTCAGACCAGCTCTGCATACAGGCAACCAGTGTCCCGAGCACAGTCACCCTCTGCTCTAAACACCTGGCAGTCCCGCAGTCACCACTAACTAGGATAAACCAGCACTCAAAGCAAGAGGGACAGCTGCAGCCATACCATTT